TAATATATGTATCCGGAATAGAAAAATAATAAACCCTATTGTCGCAGAACGATTGAGTAAGAGTATTACAATAGTATCGTTATTACATGTATCCGAAATAGGAAAATAATAAACCATATTGCCGCAGAACGATTGAGTAACGAGCATTACAAAAGTATCGCTATAGTACAAGATGATACACACATAGATAATTGATCAGTTAGTATTGCAACAGTATCGTTATTATATGTATCCGGAATAGGAAAATAATAAATCCTATTGCCGCAGAGCGATTGAGTAACGAGCATTACAAAAGTATCGCTATAGTACAAGATGATGTACACATAAATAATTGATCAGTTGTAAGTTTTACTTCCCAGATAGATTGCCCGCGAGTAGGGTATTTTTTCCTTTGAGAATTTGATACACCCATTATGGATGGCAGATATATTTGTTTTAGCTTAGTTGGTATCCTCTTATATTAGAGCAGGTCACTCGGACGTAATTCGAGATGAGATGATTATTCTTTATGTTGGAGATTGGAGTATTTATCATTAATTATTTGTTTTTCATTCATAGAGAGTTGTATGAATGATTTGATATATGTATGTACTGACTCTATTTTCTTATATACTCCTACCCCTTCTCCTGAGGAGAGGTAGTAACGATCTCGCTAGCGCTTTAACGCTCGTTGTTTCCCCCCTTTTTAGGCATCGAGTCTGGCACACAGAGAGTCGCAGGTTGATGGGACTTCTTAGTTGTCCATTTAGTTACTTATCATATTTTATAGTTATTGCAGAACTCCACATGCAGTTGATAAATTTTAGAATCTAGATTGGTATTTTATTTCATAGAGTTGAGAGCTATTGTGAGACTTTGTTTATGTGACACATTGTATTTGAGATTCGGTTCAGACTCAGAGATATGACTATTTTATTCCAGTTGGACTCATTATTGATTTTTCTTATGTTTCTTCTGTGTATATCCAGTGTTGTCCTATTTCTATTTTTACCTGTCTGTACCT